GGAAGGTGTTGGCTTTCTTTAATACTTTAAAGAAAGGTAAGGCCTTCTCTGCCGACCTGGATAAGAACCGGTTTAAGGCCGCCAAGCGCCCCGTTAACCTTTGGACATCCCTTACCGATGTCGGGGGTTGCATCTCAATAATGGCCTTAATCTTCTCAGGATTTGGCTCAATCCCCCTCTTCGTGACCATGAAGCCTAGGAACTTCCCCGTCCTCACAGCAAAAACACACTTCTTTGGATTAAGTCTGAGATTATGCCTAGCCATAATCTCAAAACATTTTTCCAGGTCTTGAGCGTGTGTGCTAGCTACCCTGCTCTTCACTAGCATATCATCGAAATAGGCTTCCATGGTCCGTCCAAGCAAAGGCCTGAACAATTTGTTGACCATTCTCTGATAAGTTGCCCCTGAGTTTTTCAACCCAAAGGCCATCACCTTGTAACAGTATGTGCCGTCCGGAGTGAGGAAGGCCGTTTTCTCCTCATCATCCTCTGCCATGAAGATTTGATGATACCCTTTGAAGGCATCCATAAAGCTGAGCAACTCACACCCGACAATTTCATCCACCATTTGATCCGGGCTGGGCAGAGGGTAGGAGTCCATCGGGCATGCCTTGTTGAGGTCTGTGTAGTCCACGCACATCCTCCAAGTATCACCCTTCGGGGCCAGGACAACATTGGCCAGCCATTCAGGGTAGTTTACTTCCCTGATATGACCTACCTCAAGTAGGTCCTTGACCTCTTTTTTCACAAAATCCCTCCTATCACTTGCCAAGAATCTTTTCTTCTGTCTTACAGGCCTAGACCCCTCAAGAACAGAGAGACGATGGCAAATGACCGACCGGTCAATCCCGGGCATATCAGCAACACTCCAGGCAAATAATGATTTATACCTGGTCAGCACCTGGACAATCTCAGTCCTTAGCTCTTCCTGAAGATCAGTCCCAATTTTGACTTTCCTCTCAGGATTGGAGGCATCAATCTGGATCTCCTCCGTGTTTGCATCCGGCTCAATCCTAGCCTTCTCCTCACCCTTGTCTACCTGTTGGGAGACCAATTCAATTTGTTCGAACTGGCGGGTCATCTTCTTGACTGCTTCCAGGTAGCAGGACCGGGCGTTCTTTTGATCACCCCTTTCCTCCCCGATTCCATTGGGAGTGTAAAACTTCATGCATAAGTGTGCCATGGAAATAATAGCCCTGACCTGGTTGATTCCAGGCCTACCCAGAATGGCATTATGCACACATTTGAT